CCTAAATCAGTGCACAGTTTGAACTTTCATCATAATACGTATGCAGTAATTTTTAGGTTAAGTCATTGTACACTAATATACCTATGAAATAATTTATTGACCATTTGTTAATTCTAGTTCTTATAAAGGTTTATCTAAACAAGTTTTTTAAATTATGTATTTTGCTGTTAGTTCAAATTTACAAAGCCAATGTGAGATCTCAACTTGCACCTACTAGAGAAGATGTATTTGCGAGTTAGGAGACTGGTGCTGTATGGCTGCTTTTAAACCACTATATTACAGCATTATGCAGAAGATACTTCAGATAAAAGAACTTGTAGATAATTTTTGCATTAGTTGAATAGTAAATATCCTAGTATTATTTCATAGTTGAACATGATTCAATACTGCCATCTATATATATAATGTTTTTACATGAAGAAAATAGTACAGATTCAAAAAATTTTGAAATAGGATGAATTTTTGTATGAGTTATATTGGCAGTGCAGCCCATTTGAGGATTGAAATAAAACTGTTAGTGTTCGCACTGTATAGGCTACAGTCCAATAGAAACCAACAGTTGTGGTTTTACTTTACACAGGATAATATTCTACATCTATATAGTAAAGATTACCTACTCTGTTAAGCAGAGTATATTCACAAAAGTTTAAACTGAAAAATATCCCAAAAAGAAAATTTGTGGTCGGTGTTCCCTCTAAGCTGCGTGACCGTATAACAACCAATCAAATACCCCCCACATCCTTGATGGCCTTAATGACCCTGGCAGTCGATAGGCCTAACGTCCAAATAACCAACTGGCAGCACTGCAAGGCGGCCAAATGATCCAATAGGGTCGAGGTCTAAAAATACCCCCCTAAAATAAACTAGTAGTGCACATCCACACACTGCCTTGATACTGATGCACATAAAAAAATTCATTCTGCACATGGATTGAAAAAATCACAGTGAACATTGTTTGTGGTATATAGATTTTCATGTAATTGATGAGAAAAAAAAAAGAATGATGGATCTGCTACTAAGTGATTATCACAATGTTAAAGGTAAACGTAACCACTAAGACCACAAAACACATCTGGTATACTTCATTACATGAAGGTAGAAAACACCCCATTAACATCTGCAAACACATCTAGAATGATTCATCATGTGCAGTTAGAAAACAAGCCAAGAAGACCAGAAAGCATATCTGGTATGATTCTATGTGTGTAGATGGAATGCAATATTGCACCACAGTGAACGGAAGTAGAAGGGCAATTCAGGATTTACAAGTCTTGTAACTGTTAATCTAAATCTAGACTTAAAGCAACAGAATCTGGTATACCCTAATTTTTCAAATTGTGAGCTTGTTCCTTCATTAGAAATAACTCATTTAACATATTTCCAGACATCTATCTTATGTATCTTCAATATTATAATGTAATAAATTTGGGTTACAAAACTGTCATTGCTTTCAATTCTGTTAATATGCTAAAAGTAAAAGCAAGCATCATCTGTAAATTTTTAGAATCTTTTTTATTCCTTCCTTCACAAACTGCTAGAGTAGAATCTTTTACATTTTCATGGAGTTTATACAAATCATGATTACAAACAGGAGGAATAAATACAAAGAGCCTTAAATGTTTAACTCTTCACACTGTCGAGCTTGTCGCATCTCTTGTAGGGCTTCAAACCTCAGACATGTCTCTGTTACTGGACGAACCCCAGATCTATCTGTTTTCTATAACTAGAGTGTCTGTACTTTGACAAAAAACAATGCATTTAATATTATACACTAAATCTCATGGCCACAGGTGTTTACCACAGTAGTTGATCAGCTGTATTCCAAAGCATGTACACACATGTATGTGTGTGTGTATGTGTCTATATATACACACACACTCACATATAGAGATACAGACAATTATACATACATATATATACACACACATATATATTGATAGTTATGTATGTATGTATGTATGTATGTATGTATGTATATATTTAAAATACATATATATATTGCAAGTTAAATATATACACACACACACTTGGCCGCTTATCATTCTGATAATTCATTCAACACCAAATCAGTTTATCTATCTATACACTAGATTGCTAAGTAAGTCTATTTTTTCCCTATGGGCTACCTGGCTGTGGCATGGTTGTTCATCAGGAAACGGTGTGTTTTTGGAGGCAGCTGAGGAGTTTCTGAGCCAAATGACAAAGGCTGATTGGGATTACCAGCAGAAGAACTTGCTGCAGCTACTGCTGCTGTTCTGACAAATGGTGTTGCTGTAGTTGGAGGGCTGTTAATGCTGGTCTGAGAATGTCTGCGATGTGTAGGTGGAGGCTGTAAGGGCAACTCTGGAGTAGCAATACGACGTGGTAAAGTAACATCAGGATAGCTGGAGAAGTTGAAACCAGGTCCAGATAAAGATCTAACATGAGGCGGAAGATGAGAACTGGAATGCATGCGAGGTAGTGTGGACCCACAAGTCTGGTCCCGCCTAGGAGGTAAGGGGGGAGGGCTGGTTTCTTTCTCTCGTGGGGGAAGCATGGGAGCATCAGGGGCTTGCTTGACTTTAGGAGATGTTTCTCCTACAGAAGGTTCTCTCTTCCTTCTGGGAGGGAGAGGAGGTGGAACCAACGGGTTTGTCACTGGTGGAGGTGCAGGTGTTGGTGTCAAAATGCCTGTCATGCTGACAGCTGCTAAAATTGTTGTTGGAGGAACAGTGGAAGTTGGGCTAGTTGTTGCACTAATGCTTCCAGGAAGAGCTGTTGCACCTGAGGAAGAAAATAAAAGAAAGTATGATGAACTTCTAAATAAAACGATTTTACCAACTCGGGAAAGCAATATCCTAAATTCATGTAATGTGAGAGAAAAAAATAACAGTAGACCTTAACAAACACTTACGAATTGTATTTTGAGAAAAAAAGATAGCATAATATAATAATAGTTTAAAGAACATAGCTTATCACATTTATTAATACAGATACAGTAAAGTACCCACGACTCTGAAATTAAAATAAGACAACAATATGTATTGTAAAATTGCAGATTGAAAAATCTTGTTACTGTAGATTCAACAACTTGATTTTTTTTTTCAGCGCTAGTCACTGTTCTTGAGAATGCTACAGAATCAGAAAAGACAAAACTTTCATTTTGCCCTGTCAAAAAAATTATTTCTAAAGGTGTGGGAGATAAGTTAGCAAATTGGATAGAAGAGTGGCTGGATGAAAGAAAGTAGAGGGTTGTTACAAATGCAGTTCAGTCAAATTGGATTAATGTTAAAAGTGGGGTAACCTCAGGGCTCAGTCTTAGGACCTTTGCTATTAGAACTTTTGATATTAAGGTCTTGAGTATTTTTCTATAGTCCTGTGTTGATACTTTACACTGTGAGTGGTTGTCATTCAACCAATCAGAAAATTCCACATCAGCAAAAAACCTAGAATATTAAGAGCACTCTTGGTTCTAAGGTTTGATATACTGTATGACAAAGTTTTAGGTAGTGAAGGACAATCCATGAATGCAAGACTCCACATTCCAGTAGGAGTCATTTATAAGGTTGAAGAAGGTAAGTGAAACTAGCACTGTTAATAACGGAATTGGCTGAGGTAAAAAACCAAAACTCTTTTTTAAGTGGTGTTAAGTATTTTGGGGTATATTCTTTACAAAATATATGATGGTCAGTTACAGATGCTTAAAAGTTATTGCTGAGAAAAAGGAACAAAGTAAAAAAGATTGAAATGAGAATCATACCACAAACAAGCATCATAAGTTTTGCTGGAGACAAGTTATTTACATGTGTATCCAGTTTGAATTGTTTGGCAACAATCTATGACTGTTCAACAGTAAAGAGAAGAACAGTATCTCCAGTGGAGGGGAGGACCAACACAAGTTTGCGATTGCATCTCAGTCAATGGTGTTGTTGAGCAACATAAAACTGATGGCACCTTGACTGCTAACAAGTACAGGTAAATTCTCATCCATCATGACAATCCTTCAAGAATATGACTCACTGGACAAGAATTCATTTTTCAGCAAAGTAATGATCCCAAGCATACAAAAAATGTGGTGAAATGATATATTGATAGTAAAGAGGCCAAAGGACACAACCATGGCTTGGCCTGCATAAAGTCATAATATGAACAATCTTGAGACTGTATAGAATTATTTAAAAATTGTTCAAATGGTTATCAAATAACTTGGCTGAATTATTGGAAGCAATACAGGACACTTGGAACAATATTCTACAATTATACATTGAAAAACTGTGTGGCAGCATCAAAACAAAATGTAAAGCTCTGGCTAAAGCAAATGACTCACATAAAAATAGTGTAATGTACAACTTATTTACATAATGTATTATTTTCTGTTATGTAATATTATTAATAAAATCACCTGGTTACCATTACTTACTGTTTGTGACTCCTGCATGTGTATCACTTGTGTGTTTTAATATTTTTCTTTTTTACACATGGATGTACTAGATTTGTTTATGAAAATGTAAGTTTACGAATAAAGAACCAGTTTTATGCATAAGTCAAGACCTCAGGAAATAAATATTATAAAATTGTCAGATTTGATTAATAGAAATTGAAATTAACATTTGGAATGTTCTTTGTAATAAACATTAATAAATGGGCTTCAAGTAATTTTAACAAATGCAAAATATGAAAGGAATTAAAGAAAACTAAATTTAATAAAATAAAAACCTGGTTAAAAACAAATTTTCTAAACCTACAAGAATCCTGTTACCAGCTAAGTGTAATATTAAAACTTATGCTTTAGCCAAGTGTTACCACGACTTACACAGAAGCCTGTACTGCACAGTAAAATCAGTTCAGTAATTTCATACGGGTTAAAACATACTTTTAAAGACAAGTAAACTTACCTTCTTAAACAATGGTGTTTAAAACATCATTTCAAATATCTTACATCAGCATAATTTGGCAAAATAGATGTGTGGCCATCCATTATGTATCAATATAAATAAAAAGTATGAGAAAAATACAACAAAACAATTATATGTATAGATTTAAGGCCAATTAAGCTGTGTGTGTGTGTGTGTGTGTATGAGTGTTAGTTAAAAATTAAAAAAACGTTTTACTACTCTAAGATGTTTAAGTCTAATTTTAATGTAATGCTGTAACAT